TATTATTAGTATCAATTTACAAAGAATGAAAGGATTTAAAACAAAATTTTGGATGTAAAGGTATTTTGCACTTTTCACACAAAAACTGGACTTTTTTGTGACAATATCCACATCGCGATTGCTTTTCTTGATAAAGAACCAAGTGGTTAATACCGTCATATCTTGAATTGGCTACCGAATTCGAATTCCGCTTAGAAGGTCCGCGTTTTGTTTCTTTTTTAAAAGTTTCCAAAATATTAGTTGCAATAGATCTTCTAAATTCAAGTTGATCCAGTTTACCGTCTTGAGTTTTGTGAATCTGCCACGCATTTTGAATAGCCATATCAACGCAATGAGCAAAAAGGGGAAAATACCATTTCTTTCCTCTTATGGACACTAGATATAAACTGATGTTCTGGTCACTGCGATCAACGCCACCCATGAAGTTATTGTATATTCTAACAATATTTGGTTGAGGAACTTGAATATGTTTTTTCTCTGCTTGTGAAAATCTCTTTACAGATAAGCAAGGCATTACTGGTACAAAATTGGAAGCAATAGAAACGATATTATCATACCAGCGGCAAAGCACTATTCCTGTATTTTTATCAAGACAATACTCGTATTTACCACGTTCAGTTTTTTTCATAATAGATGAACAGGGTAAAGGGCATTTCATGGTGCGATTTTCCCTTACAGTGCCTGTACCAAATATGCCTCTTTGTTTTAGTTCATGCAGTAAATGAATAGAAGTAAAATAATTATCAAAAATAAGATGGAATCGCCTTTGAGGCCATACTTCATTCAATCTGTCTGCATAGGATAGAACTACTGATGCACCCAATCCAAGGACTTTATATTGTTCAGGTATTGTAGTGGAATTACCTTGGTAAGGAGAAAACCAAACTATGTATCCCAGACAAAGGGCTCCTACCCACATTTTGTACCCCCAACGGATTGGTTTTCTCCTGATGAATTGTTTTGTGGGATGGCGAACAAAATACGGAACCATTGCCTCATCTATGCTGTGATGTTGTTCTAAAGGGAAAAATTGTATAAATTTTTTGTTTATTACGTCGAACAGGGGTCGCATCTTGGCAAATCTATCAAATTTATCTAATGACAAGTTATTGCAAACATGCAAAACTTTCATTATGTGGGAAAATCTATCCCTAGATATAGCAGCTACCGCCATTGCGTTGTGCGAATCGTCACGATTTTCCCAGTACACGTACCTTTTCGGCACAACCACATAACCACTCAATACAAGAACGCCTATAAAACATCGAATCTCATTTTGAGTAATGTCGTTCAAAAGATTTCTTTATCCTGCGTAGATGTTAGTGTATTCGGTAACCAAATTGATGACTTCATCATCAAAAAACAAATTGAAAACTTCCATCGGCGACTGAGTCATTTTCGGTCCAAATTGAGTTTTCCAGTAAGTACAATCAGGGTGTTGATACAAGTCTCCTTGAATCCAGTGTGCAGATATTCTCTTCTCTAATTGATGGGGCAGCTTTTCCTTGGAAAGAAACAAAGCCAATGGTATATTGTCATCATCCGAATCTTCTACATCGTTTCTCATCTGACTACCCGGTAAATTATTTATTGTAGTTAGTTCTTCATCGCCGGAGTCGCAATCGGTGACATCATCATTGGCATTTTCTGGGGGAAATATGATCAAACCATCTGGAGGGACTGGGATTTCATCAGAATCAAGCTCTTCTAATAGCTCATGCAATTTGAGAGGCCTCCTGAAACACTACGCACGTTGGTAGTACTAATTACTACCGTCCTTTTAAAAGAACAAAATGAAATCCCAAGCGGTGAGCCTTTGAAACAACGTGACAACTATTCGAGCCAAGAATATACGTACATAAGTCCCTATTATACAATAATCCACATGCCAATGCCGTGAAATAACAGTTTTTTAATTCTAGACTTACCTCCAATTATAAGCATCCATTTTGTAGTCCAAAACCTGGCAATTTACACAGATAACCTCACAATTACAGCATGTGCGCGCACTAAAATTGTTAAAACTTGTCGAATGCTGGCTCTTGAAAACACTCCATCTAGAAGCCATCTATCAGTTGGTAGCTGTACTAACCTAAATTACGCATAATTTACACTGCCTTTTAAAAGGACGGTAGTAATATCTGGGTTAATTTTTTAATAGGTATCAAAATAATGCTACAATAAAAAATCTTTGTTTTCTCCAAAATTTGCTACCCAAATAAGTAGTTCGATCGTCAATATTATTTGGAAACCTACATTGAAAAATAAATGAGTTTTATTCATTTCACTAATTTATTTGTATCCATGAGAAATATTAAATTCAAAAGGTACTAAACAGATCTTTTTTAATCAGATGATGTCTACTTACAATTTTAAAATGTCTACTAATTTCATGAACATGAAATTAGTAGACATTTCATATCTTATTCAATACATTAATGAACATGAATAAACCCAATGGTACGCCTATTAAAATATAAACAAACAAGCTTCCTCATTTCCTCATCTTAAATAATGTAAATTGTATGTACTTACAAATTAAATGAGAGATCGGGATGTAAATATTTCGTTTATTTTATTTCACTTTTCACAAATATCACTCAAAATACAGCCAAAATATCTAAAAACAACTTTTCCTCATCTACTGTAAAAAGTAAACAAACATGGAACAGCATTTGAAGTTTGACGTAGATCCATAAGACAGAGAAATGCAAACACTGGTTGCCATTTATAAAGTTTTCAGTGCTTCTACATATAAAATAATTGATTGATATCTATTATACGCTATTATTAAATGATAATGCACACTGTGTGCATACTTGATATTTTGATTACAATTAAATATATTAATCTAACCAATAAATTATTATTTTAGCTTGATAGCACCTGCAGAGTATAAAATACGGAGTAATATTTTCAGCGACTCGCGAATAAGAAATTTTAAAATAAAACGTGACAACAGTTGAAGGTTCTGAGAATGTGACCTATTCAAATAATTTTGACTACACAATTTTATGTAAATAACTGAGTCCGTCTATGTTTATACGTCCATGGATTGACCTAAAGAAAGAGTTTGATAGAGTAAGACTCTGTAATCCATCTTCTGTATAATAGAGAAGCTTCCCTAAATATTATAAAAACTATCGAAAACATCTACCGAAACAACAAAATGGAAGTCAGAATAGATGGAAACCTGACAGAACCTATAGAAATAGGCAGCGGAATAAGACAAGGGGATTCATTGAGCCTCATACTCTTCAATTTGATCATGGATGAAATCATCAAAAGCGTTAACAAAGGAAGAGGATACGAAATGGGAAACAAAGAAATTAAAATACCCTGTTACGCAATATTGATAGCCCCAGATGAAGATAGTCTGCAAAGACTGGTCTACAGATTTAACATAAGAGCAAAAGATTTAATACGACAATCTCATCTCAGAAAACTAAAACAATAGTAGTCAGCAAAGAACGAACCAGATGTAAAATAGAAATTGATGGCATCAGTATTAAACAAGTAATATTGAATAAAGAAATAAAATACCTGGAAATTACACTGTCTAGCTATGGAGACCTCTCGACAAAGATGTGAGAGACACATCAACACTGAAATCCAATAATGACATATGCCTCAGAAACAAGATCCGACACAGTCACATCGCAAAAGCTATTGGAAACGGCAGAGATGAGAGTACTGAGAAGAATTACAGGAAATACGCTGAGAGATCGAACGGGAAGTGAAGACATTCCATAGAGGTAATAATCCACCAATAAACAAGCAGAATTGCTTATAAAGTGGAAGAAAAAGAAGCTCTCTTATCAAGGGCTACGGGCGGAATGCATTGATTGGTGCAATGGATTGCGCAGAGGTATGATAAAATAAAAACGATAGAAACGCAGTCCCATGCACGTTTCTTAACTATCTATCAATAAAATTAAATTGAAATAAATTAAATACCACCGCACCATGCGTAGACGATAAGAAAGCTGCGCTTCCCTTCCTCGGTCACTCTCGGAGTGCCACATCCCATTTTTTCTCTAGATTTTGATAAATTAAATAACAAAGGTCAATAATGATTTATTCTAAAATGGTTCCAGTAAAAAAAACAAACCGGTCCATATTTCTATTTATATTTATTCATATCGTGTAGATAAACAGGAAAACAAGGGAACTTTTTATTTTACTATTAGTGTTGTTGAAAGTAAATTAAACAGGTGAATGTCTGTTTTCCTAGGCTAATGCAGATACAGTTTGGTATATTTGTGTAAAGTCTTCAAGGAGAGTGAGAATTAATGTTGGCGGTGAAGTTATGAGCTTTTTCGCTATTACAGAAGCAATTTTTCAGGGAGGCAATTAGTTACCAGCAAAATTAATACAGTATTACAATAACAGTTTAATTTCAAATGGCATAGAGATTACTTCACATGAACTTATTTCTATTGCCAAATATTTCTAATCATAAACCTAATCATTGTCTCGCCATGAAATATATCCACACAGAAATAATCTGATATCATCTGAATATAGCAAATTCACCCATTCTTCTTTTATCCACGAGCTAATTCTGCCTTAGCAAATACCAGAAACACCGCAGCTGGGCCTGTTCCTTATGCATTCCTAAAGTATTTGTCTATGGCTTCAAAAAACTCCCAACTTTATACAACCTGATCTGGAGATCACATAAATTTCCATCTTAATGGAGCAAGTCTATCGTTATACCAATACTCAAGCCAAATATTTTTTCACAATCTTATAGGCCCGTCTCCCTTACATGCACTATGTGTAAGCCAATGAAAAAAATAGTCAACACATGTCTTTTATGGTATTTTAAAAAACACAAGATTATTTCAGTGCTTCACAAGAGCTAATCTTGTACTACTCCAAAGACTTAAAACTGTTTTAATATGCATTTCCAAATCGAGAATAGTATATTAGTCCATTGTAACCTAAAGATTGCTAGAATCCTTGCATTTGTTCAATAATAAAATAATTCTTTTAAAAATGTTGTAGACTTATTTATTACACTATTGCAACAAAAATATACAAAACAATAAACATTTAAAATTTTATTTATTTAATAAGCAAGCAGCCTCTGTTTGGGGTGGCCAAGTTTCTCCAAATTTGGAGTACACGCAAAGTTTATCATTGGCGGGGGACCACACATGAGGACTAAAGCATCATCAGAAGAGGGAAACAAGTGTTCTTTTAACATTTCTTCGTTGATGAAACCGGAACTATATTTCCAATCTAAAACAAAAAACGCGAATTAAGTTGGATACATATAGTTTTATTAACAAAATAAAATTTTATTCCAAGATGGACTAGAAATAATTATGGATATTTACCAAATATTTAGAACTACAGTGTTACTTCGATATATGAGTTTTTTGAGATACGAGCCCCTGAGCGACCGATATTTTGCGTTGAGATACGAGGAATGCGCCCCGAATGTTGGGATCGTGTGCAGCATCTAACAGTTTCAAATTCACGCTAATGAGAGAGCAGTAAGGTTAAGATAGGAATGCGCATTTGCTGGATTTAGTAGTGTCCAAGTAGTGGTCACGTACATAACCGTACAAAGATCTTTACGCGGTGGGGCTCTATTACGAGTAAAACTACCTTTTTTTTTTAATTTTAATTTATAATGCAAATTAGAATAAAACAGAGACATTAGATATTTATTATAAAATACATATATTTATAAATAACTGTCTTAAAGTAGTCAAATAAGAGGAATGAATTTTAATAACAAGACTTGAGTTTCGCGGGACATTTATTTTAAAACTGCTGGCGAAAGCCGACAATCCTGTACGTTCATTCTCCATAAGAATAGCATTGCCCCATCTTAGCTATACTAGATTCTCAGTGTGAATTTTACTCTACACCTCAGGTTATGTGTTTGTTTCCTTCGTTTCTGAAGCATTTTTGAAGTTGGGTTCGCGTTCTTTACTTTTTGTACATTTACAAAACATTATCACATTTATTTTTAAAACCATGAGTCCTAAGAAGATGAGATCTATTGAATTAAAGCTTAAAATTATATAAACACATGAGCAAGGGGTGCGAGTAATTCATTTGGCGAAGATGTAATTTTTTTGGCGAGATTTCTAAGCTCCGGGTCTATCTCCATGAAAAGATGGAGAAACCACTGATGAAGTGGGTGACAGAGAAGCATTTTAAAAAGGAACCTTAACACAAAGCATCATACGTGAGATGGCACGAGTGATTTGCGGTGATCTGCTGAAGCAGGTCCCACACACTTTTACAATCGAAGAATCGGAGACTCATTTAAAGTCAGTTTGAGGTTTGAGAACTTTAGGAAAAGGACCGGCATTCAACTCCGTCGTCAGACGTGGCAAGTTCGCGTGTGAAGACAGCTGAGGTTCACATAAAAACGTTTTCCGGACCGATAGAAGCCAAAGGATACTTCTTCTTCTTCTTCTTATAGTGCCGTGCATCTATAGTGCGTTGGCGAATTATTTTAAGGCCAGACGTCTGTATTTTGCGGCATGCAAAAGATCCATCCAAATGATACATCCTCCAGCAAGTGTTCAACTGTGACGAGACAGGGCTTTTCTGAAAAAGGATACCGAATAGAGCTAACATAACGGCACTTTGCACCAATGCGAGGGGCGCAATCAAAAAAGCAAAAATCAAAGTATACCATTATGAAAATCCCAGACCTTTTAATTCACACATTTTAAAAGAAAAATTTATGTGGAGGGCAAACCCGAAGGCGTGGATCACCAAGAAATTCTTTGTGGAATGAATAAACTTGGTGTTTGGCCCTTCTCTTATTGCAAGTCCTCACTCATCAAATCTCAAGATGATTTATTCGAAGAGTTTAAGTTTATAAAGGTTCCCTACGTACCACCCAACACCACTCACATGCGTGTGCCCTCGTGCTATGCCTAGGAGTTATTGATCATGCCTGATTGGGTATTACAACGAGAACCTTAACCTCTGCATGGAAGAAACTGGGGCCTGAGGCTGTATATGAAAGGGCCTTCGAAAGATTGGAACTCGAAGTGTCAGTGGTATTGGAGGAGATCGATTCTCTGGGAAAATCCATGGGCCTGGAGGTGGATGAGAGTGTGAACGAACTCGTCGAAGAACAGTTAGGTGCTGACAACCGATGAGTTACACTATGTACATTCGCAGCAGCATAAACTTGTTTTGAATGGGAGCCAGAGATGGAGGAGGTTATCTCTACAAGAAATATAAACGAGATCTTGGGAATGTATGAGAAACTTATACAGCCCGTGGATAAAAAAGTTGCAACTGGTCGTATATCGGAGATGTTCAACGAAACTTTTCTAACTTATTTCCGCAATATTCTGAAACGTAAGAAGAAACAAATCTCCTTGGAAAGTTTTTCTAAACGATCTGCAGGTGAAAGTGAGCAAACCGTGACGAAAAAAATGAAGACCAGTGATGAAAATTAAGCGCTTCAGTATGTACTTCACTTTTTCTTTTACATAATATATTATGTTTTTATAGAATAGGTAATTTTTTATTTATAAAAAATGTTTCTTCTTGTAAATTCATATATTTGTTTCATTCAAAAACACTTAACAAAAACTACTGAGATGGTGTTTTGGGATGGGAGTTGGAACGGATTAATGGCATCTCAATGGGGAAAATTGCTTTGAGTTACGAGTAAGGTTACAGACGAATTAAACTCGTATGTTGTGGTAGAAGTAATGGATTTTGACAAGAGCTATGAGTCATGCCGATTCAGTACACAAGTTTACCTGTTATTTACAAGGTCATAGCTCTTGTCAACATCCATTAACTATATATATATATATATATATATATATATATATATATATATATATATATATATATATAGTGTAAGGCATATCACTCTAAAAGTTAGATATCTGTGGACCAGATTTATCACACTAAATTTATAAATAACTAAATAAAATATTAATATAATTACCTGGTTGGGGCCTATCCAGAGTATACCACAACTTAAAACTATTAGGTCTACTCTTCACTGCTTCTTCTAATTCTGGTCTTAACAAAATATCGTCTTCTGTTTGATTTGCAAACAATAATGCACATTCTGTTGTGTCACTGGGGTCTTTGAGGATGTGTCTGATCAACTGTAAGATTGGAGTTATTCCTACACCTAAAAATAAATGAAATTTTTTTATTACATTAAATTTACGATCGGATTTTTCTACGTTTTTATTGACTTTAATACTTTTAGGAAGTTTATTTATTAAGCATTATTACTATATTGTACTTCCTTGGGCTGCTAGTTTAAGGACAAGCATATCAGAATAAAGAATACGTACTTATAGAGTTGTAGTCTTTTAGATGGAAAACTATGCCCTTATTCTAGCTAGATCATTATTCTAAATATTCAGGATTGAGATTTGCCATCCACTCATTTGGTCCAAAAAGATTTTATAATACATTTGTATAGGTCTAGATTATTACTAAATTATATGTTAATTTGATTTCGTTACCTTTAAATTTGATTTAGCTGAAAGGGTTTGAGCGTCACAAGGAAATATTGGCGGATAATTTCAAATTTTTACAGTTAGTATGTCAAGATAGTCAACCAGCTACTTAAAAATAATAGGCCTGAAACGGTAAGGAGATCTTTACATCCAAGAAGAGGACAATCAAGAGCTTGTGAAAGAAGATGTTGCGCTAAATATGAGACATAAGGAAGTATCGATTAACTTTCCTATGGTTACCTCTGATTTGTTGAGGAGTTCCATGTAAGTTTCTGTACTATATTTTGTATGAACTAATATAAGATTTCTGAATGTAGTTTCCAGCATGCAGAGCTCGTTCACCCTGGAGGGACGCAAATAATGTTACTAAAATATTTTTGAATACAAAAACAAAGTCAAACCACTTTTCTTGCATAGCTGCACTATTTCCAATAATATAACAATGTTTAAGTATATAGATAACGAACTACTAGTTTTAATATTTTTGGATTATAAAGAGGCATTCAACACCATAAACCAACAAAAAATGTTGGAATCCTTTACAAAATGTCGAACTGACTATCGGTATAAAAATATAATTACAACATATAAGTCAAACTTAAAAATTCCCTATACAAAGTGGAGTGTCAGGTGGACACCATATTTACAGAAACTGTTCACTATACGTTTGGAATATATTATATCTATACTAAATAAGCAATGTATGGGTAAGCTAGAGGCATTTGAGTTGTGGGCGTACCGAAGAATGTTAAAAATCTCCTGGAAGGATAAGATAACTAACCAAGTTGTATTAGACAGGATGAACAAACAAAAGGAGGTCGTATTGAGTGTTAAAATGAGGAAACTGCAATACCTGGGACATATTATACGTGGGAATAAATATCAACTGTTACAACTAATTATGCAAGGAAAGATTGAAGGTAGGCGCAGCATAGGTAGGAGAAGAATGTCATGGTTGAGAAACCTCAGGGAGTAGTTTGCTTGCACTTCCATACAATTGTTCCGAGCGGCAGCCTCCAGGGTCAAAATTGCCATGATGATAGCCAACCTTCGTAGCGGCATTGATTATAAACCACTACCTAGATAGCTTACCTCGTGGTAACCGAAAGACGTATCAAAAACTAGATGGCGTTACTCGAAAACCGTATCGAGATTCTCATTCTCTCTCTGACTTGCGAAGAGATAGGAGTGGTGTCAGGGCCGAACTTACCCTATAAGTTTATTATCTGTGTCTAGTGTTGTGACAAGTTATAAGTTATAAGTATAAAATCGTTATAAATGCTTGTCTTGCAATTTCAATGCCTGTCCTGATTTCTCTTATAAATACCTTGGTCATTGTTTTTATTGTATTATTATAATGATCTGTAAGTTTGATTTGTTCAAAGGGCTTATTTTTTAACAATTTTTTTTTAATTTTGAAAAAAAATGCTTTTTTTTTCAAAACAACTTAAAATTATTAGTGACACTAAAAATCACAAAGAGTAAAAAAATGTAGGTTTTGCTTTTCCGAATATTTTGGTCATAACTTGCTTACTCTTTATGCAAGAAACTTAACAAAAATAAACCTTTTTTAAACACTTAAAAAAAAGTTGAAATGAGTTTTCGTCGAAAAGTGCTTTAGTTTTTTATTATTTCACGTTGAAATATTCAACATGGAATTTGACGAATAAGAACCTATTTTTCAATATCTCGAAAAGTATTGACTTAGTAAAAAAACTCTATAGAACCAAAGTTGTTTAGAATTACTGATTTTAGGCACTTCCAAACTTATCTTGAACATATATTTTTTCACTCCCGATAAGGGGTGATACTAATCCATAGGGCAAAAGCATAATCTATTTTTCTTTGACATCTTAGTTAGGCGTAAGCCAAATTTCATGTCAACTCAAGCGATTCTTTAAAATTATGAGGTTTTGCAATATTTTACCGTGAGTGAATGGACTAAATCTGGAAATAAATTATGTATATTTAGCTTGAAATATTTTAGTTTGCATCAATCCTGGAAATTAATTTGTTTGAAAAGTTACAAAAAAGTAATTTACATGACATGTAATTTATCACTGCTAATTTTATTATGTATTTTATATTTTGTTATTTTTTTGTATTGTGTTGATAAATAAATAATTTTTAGAAACCCTTTACTGTTTTTATTAATCAATTTTTAGCGTTTTTTCTGAAGCAAAATCGGAATTTTATAATATAGATTACAAGCACGTTAAAATTAATTGTGAAAATGCTGAGTGCCATCCTTATATCGTCCTCTATTACACTAGAGAATTGGCGGAGCATGGAACTTAAATTTATTTTTCAATCTTGGCAAATATTTCAATGAATGTCGCCACCATAAAGTCAGGTAGTACTTAGGCGTGAGGGGCAAAGAGGTGTAAGTGGGCGGAGTTTAACACTGAATTCGTTTTTACCTTAGAGTGAGCTATCTAGGTAGTGGTTTATAATCAATGGTAGCGGAGATGGCACGTGAAGAAGAATATCTGACAGGGCAAATCTGACCGACAAGCGCATAAAAATAAACGGAGAAAAGCTTAGGCATCTGAGGTTTGTTGATGATATTGTGCTATCAGCTCTACCTTTCCCCTTTAGAAGGGGTATTAAAAAAATCGATATGCCTAAAACCCAGCTGATGACCAATCTTGTAGTCAGTGAAAAGATATGCGCATAAACAAAACCTATAGACCAGGTAATAACCTGTACATATCTAGGTCACAAGATTTGACAATGACAACGAGAACAGTGCAAAAGATTTGTGTGGCTCAAACGGCGATGAAGCGTTCTATGATGGGCGTTTCTCTACGAGACAAGATCCTAACCGCCAGCTATGACAAAGGTAAGGAGTGGCTGATACTATAGAGAGAATAGGCAGGTCATATGGCTCGAATGACAGATAACAAATGGACAAAGCAGATACTAGAATTGAGACCAAGAGATGATGTTTATCGAAGTAGAGATCGATCACCAATAGAATGGACTGACGATCTACAACGTTGCAAGAAAAAGCGATGTAAAAGGTACAAAATCGGAACAAATGGTAAATTATGAGGGAAATCTATGTTCGGCAGTGGACAAGGGAAGATTGAACGATAATGATACTGTGTAAGGGACAGTAAAGAATAATGCAGTATCATTTCTTCAGTACTAATCCTAAAACGTAATATCATGACTTCCGTAAAAAATTTTTATCCAAAATATTTGTAATAGCCAAAAAAACCCTATACAAGCCTGACATTCGATTATTAATAAAAATTCATCATTACCTCCAGCGATGAGATTAACTTTCTTCACTTTTATTTCCTCTGGTGGATCTTTTCTAAGTTTCTTCACTGTAAATTTACCATGACCAAGGTACTCAATTCTTCCCGCCGGACCTCGTACATCGATAGTGTCACCAATTTTGAGGGATTCTAAATGTTGAGTCATTTTGCCACCATCTGGAAATTTGGGATGAACATTTTTGAAATATACCTAAAACCAAAATAAACTCTTACACATGCTCTTCAAAAAATTATGAGAATAGCATGTCGCATGTAGCATACCGTAACAAAATAAACATTGATAGGACCGCAGTGGTGATCTTTCCTTGATCTCAGAATGTTTTAATGCAGATCACATCGAATGGTAAAATATTGTAACAAGTAAACAAAATAAAGTATCTGGTTACTGCTGAATAAACAACCAACAGGATCCGAATCTTGAGATTAAATAATGCAAAATTAAATAAGAAACAAACGCATTCACACAAATGAAAGGACTACTATACGACCCACACATCAACTTAGGAATGAGGATATGACTACTTACATGCTATGTTTAACTAATTATGCTGTACGGAGCAGAATCAGCGACGCTCACAATTCCAACCATAAACAAGATAGACAATCCCCGTATGGGGCACGGACCACTCAAGAAAATCTCCACAGTTTTCTCCTGCTTGTCGTAAAAACATAATTTCTGAGAGGCAAGCACGACGTGACAAGATAAGGACTGCTAAGGGAGGTAAGCGTGGTTGGGACCGGAGTTAACACGTCCTGTCCCCACCTGCGATCATCTATCCTGGATGGGGACTGATCTGTGATACCCTATCCCTTCCCACTGGTTGTATCATCACACTGGCGGGAATACAAATAGAATACCCACTAGCCTTCACTTCCACATCTGCAGTCTATGGCATTACTCACAGCGCCAATGCATGATCAACTCGACTCGATAGTATATATCCTACACTCCGAGTACAACCAAGCAAATGTTATCCTTCCTCTCATTTCTGCTACGTCCTCCAACACACAAGTTAAAGGTGTAATTGTACCGTGCCCAGACCTGGTTGGAAGTTGTGTCTATTAGGTGAATAGAGCTGTTTCAAACGGTCGACTGAAAAATCAGGTCAAAACACCTTTCATTTTAGGCCTCATATCTGTATAGGGAGCGCTACAAGTGTGGACCGACTATTTCTCCTATAACTTGCGGAAAATTATTATGTCCTTTAAACAAAAAATTGACTCCCGGAGGAATCACAGGAGGACCTACCGAACCCTAATACTTTCATTGATGCTGTTCGGTAGATTCTGGAAGAGAACAAACTCATCCTAAAATGATACACGTTTTAAATAAATATCGCCACGAGAAAGACAAGCCGGAAGAAATTTCTTAATATAATAAAAATATGTCGGGTGTGGATCGTAATGATCAGATGAAATCATACTATTCTTCTCCACGAAAAATTATAGGCATTTATATTATATTTCTAGGCATTTTGATATAGTGAAATAGCAGACATTGAATAGGACAAATCGTTTGCTAAAAAGAAGTAACAAAAAAGTGTTTCGGAAATTCAATTCGGACTTTGTGGTGTATTTTAGTTAAACGATAAAGTACCTTCGGTCTAATTACTGGACTGCATACTCTCAATAGCTTTGGTATTAATTAGTGGACTAGACGTGTTTAAACATTTTGTTTTGCTGAAAACTCGGAAGTGATTTAGTGCCAATTTGTTTCAAGGTTATATTTAATACAGTGTCTGCAGAAAGTAAAGTCTTGGGTGTATTTTATTCAAATTTGGACATAATAGCAACTTGGCAAGTATTTTCCAATTTAACTGCGTGCAAAAATCATTCGTATAATTTTCACTCTACGCAAAATAGGGACTTATAGAAACCTTGATGAACATTTGATGTCGACAAATAATTTCGAGTATTTGAAATATTCCGTCCGTTGTAAAGAATTACTGAAAAGAAATTGAACCATTCCCGTTAAAATGTTATCTTAAACAAGCAACACAATAAGTTGATTCATCCTCAAAAAGTTGTTTTGTTATACATATTATCGTAATAGTTATATTATCGAAAACAGCTGTCTACGATCTACGATACAGCTGTTTTCAAGATGCCTGATAAAGAAGGCAAGGACAACGTCATTTTATTATGACATAACGAGAGATTATTCTAAAACTTAAATGATTTCCGAATGCAACAACGTATTGAAAAATTAAAGGCAGTTATATCGAGCATAATTTTAATAATCAAATCTTGCCCAAGTACTTTCGCTTTCTACAGCATCATCAGGGGCATTTCGTCAAATTTGGGCTATCCAGCAAGCGCAGAATGTAATAAACATGAAAATAAAACATAAATTGTACATAACACTACACTAAACAAGGACAAACTGTTTAAAATTATTTAAAAATTATTCTACGCTACATTCTTGTCGGCAACAGAGAGAATTCTATTTCATTCTCTCTTCTGTTGCCGATACACTTGTTTAAACGTCCATGCTTCCAAGCCATAAATAAGGGTAGTGAAAACGTAACACCAACGCATTCTTAGGCGTAGTCCTAACCTTATATCTCGACAACAAAGAATTTTTTTAAGTTTAACGAATGATGCAAGTACTATTTCACCACGTGTCTTAATTTCTTTGGTTTGGTTTACATTTGATGTTATCCATGTTCCTCAGTATTTGCAAGTATCCACACTCTTAATTACAGTATCTTCAACAATCAATTGGATGTTTGCATCTTCTATTTTCTTGCATCTGTCGGAGAGTCACCTCTCTTTTGCCTCTCAATTTTCTTTCTGTTTTTCTGAATTTTTTTGTATTTATTTTTGCTTTATGTTTTCCTCGCTCTTCCATAAGTTAAGGAATTTCTACAGTCATTCAAGGTTTTGTTTTTCTCCAAGTGGATTGAGGATTTCTTTTCCAACTGACACAAGGGCATGTTGAATTTTTCCCCATTTTTGGTCAATAGGTAGAGTTTCTGTATTATCTTCTTTGACTTCCCTTAAGTTTTCGTTTATTTTAAATTTTGTTTCCGCATGTGTTGTCTTGAGTAGCCTTTTATCCATAATTTTTTTGGAGCGAAGGTAATTTACATTCTTTAGTTTTACATTTATCGATAAAACAACCGGATTGTGATCGGAGAATATGTCGGTATAACGATGAATATTATCGGTATAACGTAAAACAAGAATAATAAAGATTTACTAATTGAGAACAATAATAATACTAAAAACAATACTCATTAAATAAAACCAAACATATAACAAATTTGATCAAATATCTATATCAATGTAAGTGAAGTAGACGTATTTTTTCTTTCTATACGTAATTTGACAGGTTACGTCAAAATAAGGTATCTTTAAATAAAATAATTTAAATACAGGCGGCGTTAATTTGATAAAATCACAGTAATAAGGGGCCATCGAGCAAAAAGACAAAAGAGGGAATGTAAAGATAGTTTGGGCAAACATATTGTTAGACAGGAAGTGCGATCTTTAGAGGCCACATTAAACAAGGAAAGAGAGTCTCTCTCCTTGTTTGACATTAAATTTAGTTGGGTTATGTTATCGTTTGTCCCAAATGTCACATGAAATCTTATTTATATTGAAGTTTTTTAACAATTGTGTCGCATTTTAGACTATTACCGTTAATAATTAATTAAAACTTTCTCGTCTAAGACACATTCTGAAAAATATTATATAGCTACTGTCGGAAAATTTAAATTTGGCGCATTCGCATTTCCGGATATGTCCGCCATCAGAGGCCACTTTTTTGGTCTCCTTTTTATAATGATTAGATTCCCTCTTTTGTCTTATTGCTCGATGTAAGGGACGCACAACTGCGCATACATATATGTCAAAATAAAGGTGCTTTTATTAAAGGATGACATAAAATACGTCTTCAATAACTGTCTGTTTATTTTGTTAATCATAGCTTCCTTTGTTAGTCATATTATGGCGGCATCTATTAGTAATACTGCGATTTAAAATGAGAGAAAATCTGTTTTTAAGGTCTTTCCGTACAATTTTTTAAAAAGTATCTTTTACGCAAACCTTCTCCTGATAATAAAACACAACAAAAAAAGAACTATCGAATTTGTTGCAGTCGTTCTTAAGTGATTCGGCAATTCATTTTTATTAATACACATAGATGTATCACAATTACCTTAATAACTAAATCAACGTATCCTTGATCGTCATCTGATGACACAGGAGTGTATGATCTTATAACTAACTCATCGTTGATTTTGGCCGACAGTATAATATGTTGACCAATAGGAAGACCTAAAAAAAAAAATGTATAAATATATTAGCGGTAGCGATAAAACACTCGAAATAATGTATTGTGAAGAAACGCCTAAATGTTAAACAAAGTATCTGAGAACTACACTGCTTAACAATTAGAGTGGATTATTCTTAAACAATATACCAATTTTATTGTGATGGATTTAGCCCAGAACAAAACTGATCGCCAGTGCTTTTTACATGCTACTTTTTCTTTCTTGGTTTTTTTACTTTTCAATTAAAAAAAAACAGACAAAAAAATAGATGCCTTTGAAATCTATATATATATATATATATATATATATATATATATATATATATATATATATATATACAGACGGATCCTGAGTATCCCATAGGTACAAAATGTTATAGTCAATTCGCTTAGCTAGGGCATATTTTGACAGACTCATTGTAGGAAACCTACAACACAACAATTCCTACTTCTCAGTATAAATAGCTCAAGTATACTACTATTGCAGACCTCTTTCTTTGAAAAAAAGAAGAATTATTCTAAATAGTGGAAGTGTATACTAAACCCATCAAATTTTCCCTGTATATTTAAAATATAATATTTGAATTGTTACAATTTAAAATATTGTAGTAAATATTTGTATTATTCGCGTTGTTTATTTAATTTAATATTGTTTTATTATCTTTGTTTAATTCTTTTGTTAGTTCTATTCAGTTAATTAGTTAGTTATATTTTAAATTTTATTATTAAGGCCGTATGACACTATGCATTTTCTTGTATCATTTCTTATATCGTTTCTGATATAACAAAAAAATGGATAGTGGCATACAGGCGTATAGTTTCTTATATCAGAAACGATACAAGAATTTGTGTCCGCTGCATTTTCTTGTACAAGAAATGCGCTAATTTGTGCGCAAAGCCGCTAAAACGTAAAACTTGTTTCATCTTTCATGTCATATTGGCGGATGGAGGCATAGAGAAATAAAAATAATTATTATTTTTATTTCTCTATGGCTGGAGGAGAACTTTGATATATACCAGAGATATGTAAGTATCTCTGATGTATACATACAATTAGGCCAAGCAGACATCAGAGAAAAGTGCCCACCAACAATAACCAAGATTAGAACATCAGTAGCCATACTGAAAAACAATAAATCACAGTGATTGTATCAAATAGCATCGGAACTACTGAAAGTAGGAGGAGATGTTTTACTAAAAACAATACATAACCGCACTAAACATTCGTGATGAGTTTAAAGATTATTTTATATCTCCAAATAAGAGAGTAGAGTTTCAAGAGCATACCATTCAAACACATAATTTAAAAAAAAAACAAATCATTACAACCAAATTATTTATTATTTCTGTCTTCCATTACAGCCTGTTGAATATCTTCAAAAATTGTTGTTTCCAATTTAGTTTTCATATTGGGACATTTTATTTCTTTCATTTTTGCACCACAGTATTTTTAAAAACAATCAGTAGCATATGTTCTCAGTCCCCAGTAGCTTGGGGTCCTCAGGCCCTTGTTCGGTGTCTCAGGTACTGCAGTTCTATTTTTACGGTGTCAAAATTTCGATCAATCATGTGCCAAATCACATACAGTTTCTGGTAAAAGAACTTGCATAGTGTCATACAGGGCAAAAATGTACGTACAAGAAACGATATAAGAAAACATAAATAACTTTCTATATCAGAAACGATATAAGAAATGATACAAGAAAATGCATAGTGTCATACGGCCTTTATGGATAGTCAAATTTTTCCATTTGTTCCATCAGCTAATTCGTCGGTAAGTTTTTCTTAATAAATATGATAAAATGTTTTTTAAAAAGTTTTTTTTAAAGTTAATATTTTTAGATTAGTAAGGATGCTGTTCCTAGATTACAAGGTAATAAAACTGCACAAAGGTTTATTCAAAATGCCTACCATTTTTTTTTACCGAATGAAAACCCTGTTGAGGTAAGTTGATGATGATTAAAATGTATTTATCGAATTATGTAAATGTTGTAAATACATAAGGGACTTGCTGTGTTTTATTCTTATTTAACCTCACTTTGACTTTTTAATTTTGTAGAATTTATTCCCACTTTTTTATTTTGTACAATAAATAATTTTATTATTTGTTATCAAGACATTATACGGTGTAAATAAATAAATATTGATTGTCGGCAAAGTTCTATTTTATTTACTTTTGTTTACATTAATATTGACTAAGAGCACGTATGCTTGGTTGTATAGTATTTTCCAGCCACTTCGAGTCTGTCAAAAAGTTACTAACTTCGAAAAAAAATAATTACTAAAATCACTAGACAGTTCGGACTGGAAATAGCGAACCGGGTATACCAACGGTGACGTACTTCGGTGACGACATGAGTAAACAAAAAGAATTACTTCGCATAATCAAGGAAATCAAGGAGAGGAAAATACAATACTTGGGTTAAGTGTTAAGAGGTGAAAGATATGAATTACTCCAAATCATATTGGAAGGTAAAGTGAAGGGCAAAAGATCAGTTGGAAGGCATCAGAACTCGTGGCTGAAAGACCTGAGGAGATGGTTTGACCACTCATCCACAGAAATCTTTCCCGCAGCAGTTTCCAAAGCTACAATTTGGACGACAACTTTCGACAGGTGACGGCGCAATAAAAAGAAGAAGAATCCATGCTAATGCTTGGCAGAAATAGAGAGAGATATAGACCGGATTTTATCATATGATTTCTACCGAAGATGTAGAAAAGCTGACCAACGAAGAATTACTCTCACGTTGTTTGGGAAAAAATACTCAAAACAAAAACGAGAGTTATAACAATACTCTTTGGGCCATTGTTCCGAAACATACTTTTGTAGACAAGAAAATAGTCGAATTGGCAGTTCAAATTTCGTTGAAAATGGTAATTTTTAATGAATTATGCAAACAATGAGTTGCACCATCGGCGACGCTGCTTATAAGTAAACGCTTCTAAGGACGAAGAGCGATTTTTCATGGCGGAAAAGGCGAACAAGTTGGCAATGTAAGATGATCATTTAGCTAAAAAAAAAACTGCTTAGCAAGAGAAAAAACAGACCTTTAATGATGATGGATTATTACAACTTGGTCCAAGAATAGCAGATTAATCAATTGTAAATCATCAACCTCAATATTTAATAAAAATAAAAAATCCTACGGGAAAAAATTTCAAACGCGTTTTTCCCGAAATCACTTTATTTCCGCACGGCCGACAGTTAATTTTCAGATTAGCTGGACCGATTTGAATGAATCTTGGTGCGTTTTATTTAATAACATATCTTACATGCGAATTCACCTCAATTAGGCCAAAAATGGAAAAAATAATATTTTTGCATCCGTAAAATGGTGAAAAAAAATCGGTCAATCGGAAAATGGTCAAATTTCGACACTTTTTTCAAAAGTCCGCAATTTTTTTTCTCGTACTTTTTAAATAAATGGAGGTGAATTCGCATATGCTAAACTTTCCTTGTTAAAACGCCGTTTGAATTTTTTGTTTCAGGTTTGTCAATCTGGAGATTAACTATCGGCCATATATGAAGAATTTTTGGCCTTGAATTTAGCGACCTCTATTAAATGGAAAAAGTTTCTTTGTAATGCCCAAGAATTAAATAAACTTTTGCAAAAAAAATGCATTTTGCAATATAAACTTGCGTGCATAGAAATCGGCCCACTGTAAACTTTTGACTTTAACTGTATTTTTTTCAAGAAATATTCATCAGATCACAAAAACAAATATACTGTTTGAAAGACAATTTAATATGCTTTAATGTGAGTATAAATTTATGAAAACTTATTTTGGCTTCCTATGTTTAACATAGTGAAATGAATTCATTAAGAAAATTAAGCTTTTTTATTATTAACATAAATAGGGTTATTGACAATTTAAAACTTAACACTTAATTTTTTAATAATGGGTATGACCTAATCTTGCCCTAATAACATCTGTCATACTATTAGGCATAGATCTAATCAAGTTTGCTATTGTTGCTTGTGGGATATTAAGCCACTCTTCTTCTGCTGCAAGAATAAGCTCTGGGATCGAGTCCGGGGTATGAAGTCTAGCTCGAATTCTTCGATTTAGCTCACTCCATAAATGTTCGATAGGATTTAGCTCAGGACTGTTTGCTGGCCAGTCTATAACCTGAAAACCGACTTCTGCAATGTAATCTTGCACGATTCTTGCGGTGTGTGCCCTTGCATTGTCATGCATAAAAATAAATTCGTCTCCAATGTAGTCGACGTCCGGTACCACATGAATTGCTAAAATCTCCTCGATATATATGGCAGCCGTTAAACCTCTTCTTCCGTGAACACGATCGTCCCTACGAATGAACTCAAGATCGGTTCGTGCTCCTATAGAAATTGCACCCCAGATCATGCAGGAACCACCCCCATAAGCACTCCGCTCTTCAAAGAAGCATTCTGCAAATCTCTCTCCTGGTCTCCGGTACACTTTCCTTCTTCGGTCGCTACCATAGAGGCATATTTTGGTCTCATCTGAGAACAGAACAGATCCCCATTGTTCCAACGTCCAATTTCGATGATCCTGTGCAAAATGCAGGCGTGCTTACCGATGAGCTGGAGTAAGTTTTGGACCAATCGCAGGTGTTTTAGGGGTCAGGTTATTTTCCCGCAGTCTTCGTCCCACTGTCCACTGACTAACAGCCACTCTTCGCACCTCACGGAGCTGTCGTTGCACCTGAACGGCATTAAGGTGACGATTTCTTAATGTTGTTGACACAATAAAGTGGTCATCACGAGCGGTTGTAAATCGCCGTCTGCCTGTTCCAGGTCGCCTATGAAAGGATCCGGTCTCCTCATAACGTTGGCACACTCTTCTAACCACTGCGCGTGTCATATCCAATTGTCTAGCAACAGCTCGCTGACTAAGTCCATTTTCGATTAGAGCAATAACTTGGGCGGCTTTTTGTGGTGTAGTATGCATTAAACTAACACACTTGAACACTGCTGAGATTATGAAAAACGAATAATATGCAAATTTCACTTGCAAAGGCAATACTTTTACAATTAGACAAATTTGTTATTTTCGTGACAATCACCACATAAACACGTTTCATTTACACATATCGGCACCATATCGGCAGCTAGTGTTAACATCTTTAAAAATAAACTTGACAGAACCTTATTTTTTTTTTTATAGGATAGGATATTTTTTCTCGGACAGCATTATTTATTTATTTATTGTGTCACAATTCAATTTTTGTTAATTTGTTTAACTGTACTAAACTTTATAATTAGTATTAGTTTTATAAGGATATATTTTATTTTTGTTCATTTTTGCTTTTTGGGCATAATAGGAGCTCGCTCCTCTGCCCTTATTTTTTATATAATAATAATAATAATAATAATTTGTTTTTTACGCATGTAAACGATAAGCCTTCTTGATAAATTTATACTCACATTAAAGCATATTAAATTGTCTTTCAAACAGTATATTTATTTTTTTGATCTGATGAATATTTCTTGAAAAAAATATAGCTAAAGTCAAAAGTTTACAGTGGGCCGATTTCTATGCACGGAAGTGTAATAAAGGGACCGAGAAAAAAGTTATTGGAAAGTGTACTAGTAGTGTAGTACCTTAAAATAAAAATAATATTCTGATTCTAAAAACAAAAATGACGATACAAAATACTCCCAATCAACCGTAAATAATATTAGCAACAGTAGACTACATTATACTATAAGTCTCTGAGAGATACAAATTGAGAAAGTCTATCCCTCAACATCTAAATATGAAGATGCTAAAGTAGAAACATTGGAAAAAGGTGCATAATGAAATACCAATAGAAAATTCGGATTAAGGGATAGATTTTATTTATGATCATCGCGTATTTCAGGAAAAAACGAACATGGGGATGGACATGAATAGACCTCAATGATACAAGTAAAAACAAAATCGTCTTTGTTATATCGAACGGCTAGTAGAATATGTTATAATATACAATTGTGAACAGTTTTCCATTTGAAAATGAAGTGAAAATCCAGCTATTTCAATTTAAAAACCTGCAACAAATATGTTGAGAGTTGACTGATTTTCGTAATAAGATATAATTAGCTTACCAAGCACCATATCCTTTTCTGGTAGACCAAACCTGAAGTTTCTTGTATCATGGCTGATAATAGTTTTCTCTATTAATGGCAGTTGGTATTTCGTCTGTGGATCTTTCAGGAGAATTTTTTTACTTTTACCTGGAATAAAAATTATAAATTTATTAAAACTTTTATGATATATTATCGAAATACTGAGCTTAATTAATAATAACTATTAACACATAATAGCCCAGCCTGTGGGGGAAAAAGTACTCTCTAATCCAAGAATTTATGTAATGTGGCCTAGGTTATAAAGGGCAACCTCAGGAGCAATCCCCCAGTTCATTCAACAAAAAATTTTGGGTTATTGTTTATTTATGAGCGTTTATAGGTGCAAAATACGTATTTTTTGAGTTTTTTTTTCATTTTTTGCCTAAAGTAAGTGTGGTAATGGGTTACCACACATCACTTACTATTTATCATTATTTTCCAGTGGAATATGAAAATTTACGGCTTTAGGAAGAGAATGAAACAAGAATTAGCACTCGACCATTTTTTTGCAATCCTATGAGCGTTCAAAGTTGAAGGTCGTGGGATAAACTAATTAACATACAGTATTATGCGAATTATTGGAATCACTGTGAATTTTTTTTTCATTTTTTCAATATTCACAGTTGCCAACACTACCTACACAGTTTACAGCTGACCAAGCATTGAAAACATAACCTTACTGTGTGTTGGTGTGTTTTAGGTCATTTCTTACCAAGCTTGTGTTGTTTTGGGGGTTTTTGTACTATTTTGTGTTGTTTTTGGTTTTATTCCAACATGGATATTACGCCTAGGAAGCGTGAAAAGATTGTACAAGAACCAAAATTTTTTGGTGAATGAACTGGGGGATTGCTCCTGAGGTTGCCCTTTATAACCTAGGCCACATTACAAAAATTCCTGGATTACAGTGTAAAATCACCATTTTTTCCTCATAGGCCAGGGGTGCTCAAACTTGAACTGCTGGCGATCTACCTCAATATTTTTAGACTACTTACGATCGACTCTGAGAGACTGCAAGTGTGTGTGATGCAGGGTTGTCGTACATACACGATACACCCTACCTACCTAGGTAGGGCGTACCGTAGCATATATAGATATTAGCTTTCTGCACAATATAGGTACATTATTTTAGTCAAGGTTTGGGTTAGGTTCAGTTAGGTTCTTCTCTACAATATCAATGAAAAAACTCATAATTATTCAAAATTGCGAGTTTATTTGTTGTTACAAAACAAAAGAGTTACATATGGTGTTAAACATAACTAAGGAGTGGCTTTGGATTTTGAAGCGTGGCACTGCATGTCCTCAGCATACTTTTCATAAGATGGTACGTAACCACTGAGTGCTAATCGCAAGCATGATGTCATATGATCGTCAGTTAGTCGATTGCGATATTTTGACTTAATTATGTTCATTTCAGAACATGCAGACTTGCACAAGTAAGTTGACCCAAAAAACGCCGTCAGTTGAAGGGCGATTTGCCTTACATTCGGATATTTATCTTCAGATATAAAACGTCAGAAATTTGTATCAGATATTGTAGCTTTGAGATGTATATCTGATATAATCTGCACCAACTCATTTTCAACAGAACATGAGTTCATATTAAACTGACTTGCTATTTCAGTAGCTAATTCCTCAATGTTTTTACATGAAAAAGGATAGCTCATAAATGATGCTATATTTTCCAATTTACTGCAATCATAAAAACTCATTTCGAATTGTCCCAAAATATTTATTAATTCAGCCTCATACGTATCATAATTCAACTGAGGAATCCTTGCTTTCAAAGACGGAAAGTGTTTCAGATCCTTTCTTTTCAGTTGATCTATCATAAATTGCAATTTATTTTTGAATGCGTTTACTGCACTAATCATCTCAATAATAGTTTTTCCTTTACCTTGAAGCTCCAAGTTAACGGTGTTTAAGTGCATTGTGATGTCATTCAAAAATGCCAAATCATTTAGCCATTTTTCGTTTTTCAAAATCTGAGTGTCATCACCTCTTTCGTCTAGAAAAGCTGTTATTTCGGGCAATAATTCTTGAAACCTTTCTAGGAATTTTCCGCGACTCAACCACCTGACGTCCGTATGAAGAACTAAATCAGTGTGTTCAGCTGACTCCCTAGCTTCCAACTGCAACTGAAAGAGCCGCCGTTGCAAGCTACGTGCACGGATGGAATTCACAATTTTTGTTGCAATGCCCATAATTTCCTCCGTGTTTAAAACTTTTGAACACAAAACTTGTTGATGTATAATGCAATGGAATGAAAAAAATGAAGGGAATTCTTCATTAGCTCGACACAATGACACAAAACCGTTTTTGTTTCCAGTCATTGCTGGCGCTCCATCGGTTGTAATGCACATTAATTTATATATTGGTAGCTCGTAGTTTTTTACAAAATTTAAGAAAACGTCATATATATCTTCGCCACGGGTCTTCCCCTTCAGAGGAATGATTGTCAAAAATTCTTCCTTAGCCAACATGTCATTGAATACCATCCGAATAAAAATACACAGCTGGGCAGTGTCTGTCATATCGGTGGATTCGTCGAACTGTAAAGAAAAGTATGTACATTCCATGATATCATGTTTTAGTTTATCTGCGATGTCTTGACTCATGACTTCAATACGCCTTGTGACAGTCGGACGAGATAACTGAAGTTCTCTAATAGCAGACATGATTTCTGTTTTATTTTTAAAATCTCCAAATAAGTCTCACCCGCTTCAATAAATGCTTCCTTCACCACCGATCCATCTTCAAATGGTTTCTTTTGTTTCGCCAAAATATGAGATATTTTAAATGACGAGATCGTAGCAGCTTTTGATTGTTTGGCTGGTCTTGTGAACATGGATTGTTCTTTTTTCAAACAAGATATCAAATCACTTACTTTTCGTTTTCTTAATTCACTCTGTGGCAGAAAATCCTTTTCATAGTTTTTATGAACCGTTTTATGATGCCTGTCTAAGTTACCACGCTTAGGTATTGCAACTGACGCACGACAAATAACACAAATGCACTTATCCTTCACCATAGAAAAGAAAAATTCTTCCTCCCAATCCTTATTAAAATGATACGTTTTAGATTTCTTCACTGCACTCATTTTCCACTATTTAATAATAAACTTTGTATCGACGTAGGATCGCTATCAATTTACAATTCAGAATAACTCCAATTCCTGCAGGCGCAACATTTATATCGGCGTGAACGAAAGTCTCGAATGTTCCCGTCAAACGCGCCGCCCGAAACTAGACTGTACTGTCTGTCGTCTAGAAACAACACGGCTTTTCTTTGACAAGTGCCGCGCGTTCCTTTGATAAAGCCACCTTTTGCCGCAAGCAGTTTTATTTTATTACGTAATCCATTTTTGTAGTTGATAGAATATCATCCCAAATTTGATCAATAATTATAATAAATATTGAATTAAAAAAATAATTAGTTAATATATGTAAATATAAAATATGCTGTGTGGACAGTATTTTGTTGTCCCCACTTCTTTGAATTGCAATGATGCTTAGTCAAGCATTCTATGTATTTGTATAGTTCAGTATTAATAAAAACGTTTAACTCTGCTGACAGTAGTTTAGTTACCTACCTACTTATTAAAATTTTTTTTCTTCTCGAGATCTACCCAAAAAGCACTCGCGATCGACCAGTCGATCGCGATCGACCGTTTGAGCACCCCTGGCCTAGGCTATAAAAGCATATGAGACCTATTATGTTCTTTGTTTGCTTCTTTTCTAATTAATTCTCAATTATATTAGTAGCTCTTCCATTTCTATTTTATTCCACATGTTTCTAATGTTCTCATTTTTGGCGTTTACACTAAGTGTCTGTTCTTAACTGATATCCTCTTGTCCATCAATCCGATCATATATCTTTAGAAAAGTTAGAATAATATACACATATATTTATAACAGATAATACTAACATTGAAAATATTTCTACTCGCAATATCAGAGCAGCGGTTCTCAGACTTGTAGTGTCTCCGATCTTTGACAACATATTTTAAAAATAAGCGTTCGACTACCGACTACTTCAATTAGACTGGAGCCTAGATACTGCAATACGTAGATTTCTGAAAATACTCGTATTGTAAATGTTTATAAACACAAAATATAATTAAGGCATCTAATCCTAATAGTTGTAAAGTAATAATTTTCTTAAATCACTAATTTGCTTTCGATGTAGATGGACAGCACTGCATATCATCCACAATTGTTTGGAAGACGTTGCGTTGTTACTTAGTGCCAACCGTAAGCCTGATGTGAGATATTCGTCCGTAATCATTTCTTACTATTTTACTTCTTCAACTTCTACTTGTAGTAATTTAATAAAGACTGACATAATGATCCGTCACCGCAGATTGTTATACAAGAAACAGACACTCGAGAACAACCAGAACATTCGCCAAATGTGGCGAATGCCTCAAAAGCCTGGAATATTTCGATCAGGATCTGAATAATTTTAAATTCTTTTGCGAACGACTGTTTGAGCACTGCTGATCTAGAGCTTAACTATGTACAACATAACAGTTCTGTACAGTTAGCAGATCATTAATAAAATATTGAGAAGTAATAATTCTTTTAATTGAACGATTGCATTGCCAATATTTGACTTATCATTTTTGTCATCAAGTATGTCTAGATTTTTAGAGGTACTTAGTTCCTGTTTTCAATATTTCGTTTATACCTTTTCCACTTTCCTTAGCAACTTTTCTTTAGTTGTCGTATTGTTTTAAAATTAGATAAAAAATATTTTACGCCCTTAATAATAACAGAGAATTTGGTACTCACTTTTAGTTTCTTTGCTGGGTGCATCTGGAGACGAATAAAAGAATTTATATATCACAAATGATGTAACTATTACACCAACGCCTAGCACCAAAGGCAGCACCTAAAAGAAGAAAATATTATTTTTTCTTGGACATCTACAAAAATATCACAAATTTGCACTATACAAAGCAGTAAGAACGTTAAATATTAAAAAAAAAATTATTGCAAACATTCATTCAAAACATTTCTTCTCTACTGTATTGGACAACTAGCTTTGCCACCGCAGAAAATCATTATATTATACCACATTGACCAACTATCAGAAGACAGACCACATAAGTCAAGATCGATTTATGCAAACCGGAACTATCCAATTCCCGGAATTTTTTTCTGCATTAGAATTCGCCACACCACCTGGAACTGGATTGGAGAACCTGGCCAACCTAACCCTTAAACGCGTCAGTATTAACACTGTGAAACATAATCTAATCAAAGGTGGTATAAGGACCGAAAATAAACAACTCTGTGAATGCGGGAATTACTGAACTTAAGATTCCTGTAAACTGTATATGGGTATTTCTCTATTTGGAAATTTTCTATACAAAACTGCCCCTAAGCAAATTTTATTAAATGCTAAGAATGTTTGTTGGGGTTTAAATGGAGTAGTGATGCGCATCATAAGGTGTTGCTTCCAGATAACACCTCTAGCCTCTCCTACTCAATTTCTATCCTCACCTCCGAGAGTGTGATCCGGATCACACGGGTAAACCCCGGTAAACCTGAGCAACCCTACTGGAGACTGGGTAACCAACCCCAGTGGAAGGTGGGGTCAGGGCTGACGAGGAAGGGAGAAATGGTCCTCCGAAAAGGGGGTTGGGCATGAAGCTAACTCCCTCATCCCATTAAAACCTATTGTTACGAAATCGACTGAATTCAAGACGACGACCCACGCACCGAACTAAGGACAATGATTTAAAGATCAATACTTGGAATGTAAAAACGCTGTATAGGACAGCGCGACAGCTGCTGCAATATCAACTCCTAAAATATAGAATAGACATTGCAGTCATTCAAGAGATGAGATGGACAGGAACCGGCATTATGCACAAAAAAGAACATGAGACATATTACAGCTGCATCCCGAACCGACATGAGTTCGGAACCGCGTTCCTAGTATCAAAGAAAATCAAAAATTGTATTATTGGTTTTAAAGCCATAAATGATCGGTTATGCATCCTTCGAATAAAAGCAAAATTTTCTACATATGCCTGATCAACGTGCACGCGAAAAACCCAGGGAAAAAAGGCAAACAATTAAAGATCTATTCTACGAAGACTTCGAAAGTGAATAATATGATAACTGTGCCAAAAACGATATTAAAATAATCATTGGAGACATGAACGCCCAGATAGGAAAAGAGATATTCTACAAAGATCATATTGGTAAACACAGCCTTCACGACGATACTAATGACAATGGTTTAAGGCTTATTAGTATGGCAGCTTCCAAAGATTTAATTGTGGGAAATACATGTTTTAATCATAAGAATATCCATAAAGCAACTTGGCTATCACCAAATGGACACACCACAAATCAAATTGACCATGTTATAATTGACAGAAGGCACTTTACAAAACTAATGGACGTCAGAAGTTACAGAGGCGCAAATATTGACTCAGACCATTTCATGGTGGGGGCCAAGTTACGACGAAGAATTTCCAATGCCAAGAAAGAAAGGGGCACTAGAAAAGTAAAATATAATTTACATATGCTAAAAAATGAAAACAAAGAGAAACAGTTCCAGTCACATATAAAAGAAACCCTAGAACACACCTGGGCAGTCGACCAGTCAAGCACGGAAATGTGGAACAATTGCAAGGAGGCTCTGAAATTAGCAGCCGAAAGCACATTGAAAATATCCCGAACCCAAGAAAGAAACGACTGGTTCGACCAAGACTGCAAAAAAAATAACGGATGAGAAGAACGAGACATTTATGACCATGCAACAACGCGAATCTAGGACAACAATAGATAGATACAAAAACTTGAGAGGACAAAAAAGGAGAGAGGAAAAACGCATATACCGAAAAAAGAAACGAGACTCGGAAAATGACATATTAGAACGGCTCGAAAGCCATATGAGTCACGGAGAAACAAGAAAGTTCTATCATCAAATAAATATTATTAGAAAAGAATTCAAACCGAGAATCAACTATTGTAATGATAAGGAAGGTAACTTACTTACCAACAAAGAGGTTATCCTGTTACGATGGATAGAGCACTTTCGAGAGTTGCTGGAAGGAGAACCTACTAACAATATAGGGAATACCGAAAAGATGAACTCGTGGAACTCCTCTCGCTAGATGAAGTGAAAATATCTATAGAAAAACTAAGGAACCACAAATCCCCAGGCAGCGATGGCATCCCAGCAGAGTTATTTGGGCACGGTGGAGTGCAGCTCACCAAGGTGATGCGAGAAATTGTTTGTAAAATTTGGTCTGAGGAGCAAATGCCTGAAGAATGGAGCTTAGGCTTAACTTGCCCGTTACACAAAAAGGGAAACCAACTGGAATGCAATAATTACCGCGGAATAACTATCCTAAATACAGCATACAATACAGATCTTTACACTACGACAGATCCTCGACAAAGCGCAAGAGTTTAACATAGATATGTATAATATTTTTGTTAATTTTAAAGCGCCATACGACAGTGTATTAAGACCAAGTCTTTACAACGCTATGAATGAGTTAGGAAGTCCAAAAAACTCATATGTTTGATAAAAGTGAGAATGGCGAAGATGCTATCAGCAGTAAACTTCAAAACGACTCGTCAACTCCATTTGAAATACATACGGGGTTAAGGCAGGGAGATAAGCAGCTTTTTAATGTCGCCTTAGAAAAAGTTATACGAGACGCTAATTTAGATAGCAGGGGAACAATATTTAATAGATCAGTCCAAATTCTAGCATATGCAGACGACGTGGACATTATAACAAGAACCATGGCGAGAACTGCTGAAATTCTAACCGAGTTAGTAGCAGCATCAGAACGAATGGGGTTACATATAAATCAAAATATAAAACCAAATTCATGGCGACTAACAGAAACACAAGAGCTGGAAATGTTGACGAAGATTTAATCATCAATGACCAAAATTTCGAAGCAGTCAAAGAGTTCATACATCTAGGGACATCGGTTGACCCCAATAATAACACATCTGAGGAAATAAAAAGGCGGATATAATTGCAAACAGGTGTTATCATGGTCCATCAAAGTACTTAGTTAACAAACGTCTGTCTCAAAAAACTCGTATAAGGCTGTATAGAACACTGATAGTCCTAGTTCTCACATATGAATCAGAGGCATGGACGCTAACTAAAACAGATGAATCTGCTCTATCGATTTTTGAAAGAAAAGTGCTACGCAAGATATTCGGAGCGATCTGTGAGAACGGAATATGGAGGCGTAGATATTATAGAGCGTAGAAGTTATATATAACTTTGAACTGCAGAATATCTACAAGCATACGTTTGGTGGTCAAGATATTACCACTATAATTAAGCGAAACCGCCTGCAGTGGGCAGGACATGTAGCCCGAGCTCCTGAATTGAACATGATAAAAAAGATTCTAACAGCGCAACCCGTGGGAATGAGAAGACGGGGTAACACAAGATATGGAGAATATCGGAGTCTGTCAAAGGGACAGAACAGAATGGCGTAGAAAGCTTGAGAAGGTCGAGGCCCTGTAAGGGCTGTAGGACCAAGATGATGATGATGAAGAATGTTTGTTAATAAAATGAAATTTAATCGTTAAATATCTTTAAAAGACCCACACATTATCCTTTTAGTTTTTGAGTTATGCACAATTTTATGCAAAAATATGACAGGGGACTGTTGTAGCTATCCAGGGGAATGTTTTTATGGACAATAACAATTATTTTTGATAAGTTTTGACAAACAAATAACCTGGCAGAAGCACATCTTTACCAAAAGAAAATAACTGGACATTAAATTTAGATATATTATGTACTGGTTGATTGGTCGAAACTCTAAATTAACATTGGATAACAAACTGCTTATATACAAGGCGATCCTCAAGCCCATATGGACATATGGTATTTAGCTAGCAATTCTAATCTTGCAATCCCCCATTGCTTCCAGGATAAAGTGTTAAGGTTTATAGTAAATGCTCCATAGTATGTTTCATCCTCCTCTACAGAAAAAGATCTGGAAGTGCCTTTGTAAACAGTGTCAAATATGGTGAACGGATAAAAGTGCATCCCAATGTACTCGCGAAGTGGATATTCGATGACAATAATGAAGTGCGTAGTTTTAAACTAAATGATCTACCCAACAGATTTATTGTTTAAGCAAAACCAACTGTATTTTAAATTCTACATTAATTATATGATATGTAGCTGTGATTGTGTTTTATTATTTTATTGCTTTTAACTTACATACTTTTTAATTAAACTATTCATAATAAATTAGTAGTATTTACAGTTGCTAAATAAAGAAAAGGAACTCTCCACTGGAAGAGGTTCCTACACGCTATGTAAACAGACAAATTACTTATTAAAATGATATAAGGTTGAATGCTCGAATAAATGAACTTTGATCAAATGAATGGCAGATATCGAGCAAAGTTTATTAATTAAATCTTGCCCAAGTACTTTCGCATCAGGAGAGAGAATCAATATCTCTCCTGATGCCAATCAACATGTAGCTTCGACGTTTTTTTTTTAAATTAAACTGTTTGTCCTTGCGTCGTGTAATGTTAATGTACAATTTTATGTTTATGACATTCTCAAAGATTGTTAGATAAGCCAAATTTGACGAAATGCCCTGAAGATGCCCTAGGAAGCGAAAGTATATCTGCCTTTCATTTGATCAAAGCTAAATTACTTATTATTCTTTATTTTTTGATAGATTGTAATTTTAATTGGTATTAATAAAAAAATTATACATCACGTGAATAAAGAATAAAGGAGAGGGGCGAAAAAGAGGAGAATATTATGCAAGAAAGTAAATACTTTAATACTTGAAAATATTAAGAAATATATTTTTAGAAATAAATTTTCTTACTATCCCAGGTTTATTATGAGAACTCTGTCTATTC